GGGACAGGACAGGGTCGGTGTTCTCCCTATCAAAGCGGGCATAAAAGAGGTTTAGGTCCTCAGCCAGAGTAGGACTATCGGCTGAGGGTGATGGTGTTCTCCTTTTGTAGTCCGTGATAGCCCTGATGCCTTCCCAGACCTGCTTTGGGTTTGTGATGTTCTCAAACCTGGCCTCGATACGCCTCCTGTGCTGCTGCTTGGCAGTCTTGATGCCTCTTCTCAGGTTAGCCCTGGCAGCACTGTATGCCTCCTGGTCCCCGGAGTTGAAAGCGTTGTTCCTCGTTCGAATAAGTTGTTGAACTCTGTGTGTCATCCAGGGTGGATTATTAGGGAACACACGGAGTCGTTTCCAAGTTGTTACATTGTCCACACAGAAACGGATGTAGTCCAAGACAGTGGAGGTGTAACTGTCCAATGCGACACGATTGTCAGTGTCCTGCACCTTGAATACCTCCCAGTCTGTGCAGTGGAAACAGTCCTGAAGCATCGGAATAGCATCCTGCGGCCATGTTCTCACGGTTTTGGTTGTAATCCCAGTGCTCTTGATCTTTTGTGTGTATATTGGGTGTAGCAGAAGGGAGAGATGGTCTGACAGACCCAGGTGGGGATAGGCCTGGGCTCTGTATGCGTTCGCCATGTTGGTGTACACCTGGTCCAAAGTTCTATCTCCTCTGGTAGCACACTTCACATTTCGGTGGAATTGTGAAGTACAGATTTCAGGTCCGCGTGATTAAAATCCCCAGCCGCAATAAAGACACTGTCCGGGTGTGCTACCAGGCTGTTATTGATGCTGCTGCTCAGTTGTGCTAACGCTAGCTTAGCATTAGCATCTGGTGGAATGTAAACAGCGCAGATGTAAACGGCAGAAAATTCCCGAGGGAGATAGAATGGACGGCACTTTAACACCAACAGTTCTACCTCTGTACTGCACAGTCTTTCCGTTACCGTGACGTTCGTGCACCAGAAGTTGTTAATATAGATGCACAGCCCCCGCCGGTCTTCTTACCCGAGTCCGCTGACCTGTCGGCTCGATAGGCGGTGCGGCCTGCTAGATCAATAGCTACATCGGGAATGGCGCTGTCCAGCCAGGTTTCAGTAAAAATCATGCACGAACAGTTGTTGAAAGTCCGTCGAGTGGCGATCTGCAGTCGTATTTCATCCAGTTTGTAACGGATTGAACGGGCATTGGAGAGGAATATGGTCGGGAGTGGTGGTTTAAACGGACTAGCCTTTAGCCGTGCCCACAGGCCTCCCCGCCTGCCTCTCTTCTGCCTCCGCTCGCAGCGTCTCCTCCTGCGGCTTGCTGTTGCGGGTAGCCCCGGGGGTTGCTTGACGATCTCCGGGGGGATGAGATACTCGGATGTTAATTGAAGATCTCCACGGCTTAGTTGTAGTAGATCATCTCTATTATATTGAAGTAACCCCAGACTGTGTGAAATGATACACAGCACCACAGTACCACCAAAAGTGCAAAAGTGTAGGAGCTCCGGGCCGCTGCGTCTGTTCGCGCGGCCATCACTACAATATACATGTTTTACAACAAAAGGAGTGTGTAAAACATGTATATTGTAGTGATGGCAGTATACTGTGTATATTTATACTGCCAGTATGGAAAATGATTATTTGGAAATGCTTAAAATGGAAATGATAATTTACTGTGAGGTGAGGTGTGGTTGGGGTGTGGACAGTAGTTGTGCTTTTGTAACGACGAGGGGGGAAAGAAGGGGGGAAAGAAAGAGGGAAAGAAAAACAGCTGAGAAGAGGGACGGGGGAGAAGGGCAAAAAAACAAAAACCAACAGAATAAGCAAAAAAAAATAAATACATATATCGATCACCTGGATCACCTGTTGAGAAAGAAAAAAGAAAACAAGCAGAAGAAAACGAGAGTAATAGAATAAACAACATCACAATGATATATGGGAACATGACAGTAAATACTAAATATTAAACATTATTGTGCAGCACGTAAGATCGACAGCGCACAGTGTGCTTTGAGGTAGGAGCCAAAAAGGGTGTAGTTTGTGAGTGTGAGCTCCCGTGTGTACACCCGTGAACATGGACGCGCTTGTTTTTAAAAGGTTCCTTCATGTAATGATCTGCTAGAGCAGGGGTGTCAAACTCAAATACACAGTGGGCCAAAATTCAAAACTGGAACAAAGTCGTGGGCTAACATTAATATTTATTGAAAAAAAAACTTCCTCCAGATATAAGAATGAATCTTTTCTTATGGACTCAAATAAGTTTTGCTGGAAAACTGAATATGGAACAAGCAAAGCTTAATACTAAACAATATATATATTAGCTGTATAATACCAGTAGGCCAGCTCTAATAGTAATTTGGTATGGCTTCGCGGGCCAAATGTAATTAGGCTGCGGGCCAAATTTGGCCCGTGGGCCAGAGTTTGACACCTATGTGCTAGAGGGTGTGGGGAGCCACTGCCCCGTCCTCCAGGGCATGAAGCAGGTATGGAGGAGATCAAAACTCCAGACATCCAGAGGCCCCCAGAACACAAGAGACCAAGGAAGACCAACAGAGGGGCAGCCGTCCCACTGTCCCAGAAAGAGCTGAGGAGAGTCCCAGATGAGGGGTCACTCAGCAGCCGCGGAGCAGAAGCCAGGGGGGTTGCAGTGATGCGCCCGTGAGCTCCGCCAGCAGCCAGCTGTGCCTGAGTGACCAAGCCCCAGGCCGAGAGGCCGCGGGCACCCCACCTCCGAAGTGGCCCGATGTGTACCTGGGCGCCCATCCCCGGACACAAAGAACCACCAACGCACCGATGTCTGAGGGAGTCCGCCACCGGCAGGGGAAGTGGTGGGGGGAGATAGGCCTCCAAACCTTGGAGGGCCTGATATGTCCCCAGAGAGGTGACGTCTGATACCCAACCTGACGTATAGACACAGACATACAGGCACACACAGATACAAACATCCATTCCCACCCTCATGCTCTCATATGCACTTACTCCACACTCAACCAACGTGGAGACAGACATAAAGCGTACTCTACGAACCGGGTCTAGGTACATTGCCCCTGGAGGGGGGAACTGCACCCAGACCCAGGCGGTGTTACCCTTTTCCCTGCGGTGGGGAGAAGCAGACCGACCCGACTCCACAGCAGGGAGGCCCTACATTTCAGACCCCAGTCGGAGGGCCAACTCCTCCTCCTAGCCCCCCGCTCCAGCAGGCCGCAGAGAACGGGGTGAGAGAAGACTCCAAACCTCCCTCCACCCGCTTATTGTAGTGTTGATGCATGTGTGTTCTAAGGTGCATTTAAAACCCAGGAGGGCATGGAGCTACCTGTCAGAGAGCAGCAGGTAAGCGCATAGCCCCTCCTGCTAGCCCTCAATGTCTACGTGTATTTAAAATTGAGAGGTGGGCAACGACGCCAGGGGTGAGGTGTACACCCTGATGGTAATTTGGATTCCGTGTAGCGTGTCCACCCCCAAGATCCTATATGCATGTGTAATGAGAGTGTGAGTAATGTGAATGTCTAAGTTGTGGGATAAAATTGAGGCAGAGGCAGCCAGAAGGGGACAGAGGGGGGGTTGCCTCCTCCCCACCTGATCATTCCTTATGTGTACTTAATCCGTGTGTTTCTGCTCAGTCAGTGTCAGATTGTCTGTTATCCTCACCTCATCTTTTCATAGTTTCCGTTATTGTGTCACTGTTTCATAGCCTGCCTAGTTACTCTGTGTTCATAGTTTTTTCATAGTTCTTCCACAGAGTGTCAGTCTTTTTAGTTTACACAGTGTTCTCAGTCTCCTTAGTTTCTCCTTAGTGTTCTCTAGTGTTTTTGTCATGCCATCAGCCACAATAAAGGCTCGCTTTATTTTTGGAAACCTAGTTCCATCTCTTCATTTAAAAAACAGTGTTAGCTAAAGCTAGCTACACATTGTGAGACAAACTGCACACAAAGAGTTTCTGTGTTTGCTGATATTTGTTGAGCTGATAGAAACGTTGCCTTTGAAATTACCTGAAGCAAAAAAACAAACAAAAAAAAACAAACAAAACACTGACACCTCTGACTTTGGCACATGTCATCTCTTTTAATGCAACATCCCCTGTTAATTAATAAATGAACAGGACTGCAATTCATTTGTTACTGTTTAGGTTCAAATTAGTTTGATGTTTGAAGACTTGCAGTGACAAAATGATAATACCCCTCAAATGTGTTAAAACAAAATTAATGAGCCTGGTTTTAAAATGTAAGGAGTAGAAAGTAAAGATATTTGTTTAAAAATGTAGGGAGTAAAAGCAAAAAAGTAGTCAAAAAAATAAATACTTAAGTAGAAATTTTAGATATCTGTACTTTACACATTAGTGTACTTTGTTATTTCTGACCTCTGAAAATCAGTTTGTTTGTTTTTTTAGCTATTGCTAAATACAGAGGGGTTTTTTTTCTGGAACTAGAAGATGTCTCTTAAAAAGTCTTATTCACCCTTCACTATTAATTTTTACTTTTTTTTTTATAAATTTTCTGTTACAGATCATTCCAGTTGGGTGTTCCATATATGTGAAAAGTCTACAGAATGTTATAAAACCTGAAACTAATTCTATCTTAAAATAGGTTAATCAGCTGAATGAATTAGCTCCTACTGGTATGAGTGAAACACCTGGTCCTTTGCCTTTAATTTCCTCGTCGTGGGATCAATAAAGTTGTATCTTATCTTATCTTATCTCATCTTGATACTTACTTACTATTTACTAAGACAGACTTGTATGGGCAAATTGGCCCTGTGCTCCTAATACTGATGCATTCTTTAGCTAAATGTAAAATGTTTTCACTCCCTTTGTTGTGTCATGTGGGACAACAGTCAATTATTCTAAAACACAACACAAATGATTACATTTGTGCTGTAATGTATTTTCTTCATCAGATTAAGCAGTGGGCAATTACTGTGTGGATTAAATAATTAGATGCAGTTGTTACATGAAGCTGTGGGGAAAAACAACTCTAAAATGTATTGCTGACTGGCTTTCTCTATCCGTCTTTCTCCTTCAGTCTGTCCCTGATGCCAGCCCTATGAAGCGCTCAGCCTCAACTGTGACCCCACAGCGGCCCCAAGAGGTCAATTTAAGAGACTACACCCTGGAAAAACCAAGCCAGGAGAGAACCCACCACCATCACCGTCGCTGCCACCACCGTAGAGACCGAGACAGAGAGAACAGACAGAGGTTTTTAGATGCACCTTTGGCAGGTCAACCTCCCGGTTCTGCTGGTAAAGTCAGTCAGAATTTATTCACAAGCACTATCAAAATCACAGTGTACAAAGACATTCAGTATCATCTAGTCCCACTTCAGTATCATCTAGTCCCACTTAGTATTGGACTGTCCCATCATGCTATCCTATAATTTTATGTGATTGTTTTTAGTTCAGTTGCAATTCATTTATATGGTGCCAACTCACAACAATAGTTTCCTTTAAGGGGCTTTATATTATAGGACGCGTGATCTGCAATATTAGCAAGAGCCCCAGCTACTCACTAAGAACAAGGACTTGGGTGACGATGGGGTTGAAGAAGTCCCTTTTAACCAGAAAAAACCTCTAGAGCAGTAGGAGAATAAAAAAGCGGTGAAACAAAGGATCTGGAGGAGCAGTGCACAGTGGATTGTGATCCCCAGCAATCTTAGTGTCCAAGATGAAGACTCTGCTTCCCATTCTACTTTGGAATGCTCTGTGAACTACAGGTATACCTGCAGTCTGAGAGCAAAAGGATTTGGGGAGATTTATTAGGATTTATTTACGATAAATGATAACGACTTAAAATAGAGAGCCAATAAAGTGAAGCTTAAAAGGAAGACATATAGCCTCCCTCACATCCTAGTTTTTCGGCATTACTAAAATGTGTTCCTTATTTTGATAGTATTGCACAGATGAAATAAGGCAGTCTTGTTTCTTTAACATGCAAGTTAAAGGAGACAGACATTTGGGTCAAAAATAAAACTTAGAAGCAGAAAATGACACGTATTCCAGATATCCAGACTTTCATAGTCTAATCTGCATGTCAGTGGAATCACAATGTTTTCTGTTAACATCACCTAAGTAAGCTCATTGGGTGAGCATCACTTTGGTGAAGGTCAATAGGTTCACTCAACCTACTGAGTTCCTGTTTCTTTAATCTTTGACACTTAACTACTCCCACAGTTTTTGTGCTATTTTCACCATTCAAATTTTAAACTGTTCTGCTATTTCTGCTAATGCCAGCTACAGGGCTCTAGAGTGTGACCAATTTGGTCGCTTATGCGACTTAATTTCTCAATGGTGTGACTAAAAAAAATCCTAGGTCGCACTGGTGCAACCAGCTGTTTAGTACAAAAAAAGGTCTCCGCAACTCTGGAAGTCTCTGTGTGGTCAACAGCAGACACACATTATGCCCATAACATGGTTTAAACCAATCAGAGATAGTCAGTGTGTACTTTTGAAAGTGCAGGCGGATAGAGAGAGGTGAGCAGCTTGAATAAAGTGATATCGATTCATTGAATCCTGAATCAACTTTTAAATATAAATGTATTTTACCAGAAAGGCCAGAATCTCAGTTTAAACCTCACAAAACTATTTCAACAACCACCAACAAGCTAACAGTAAATGAGAACAGCTAAACGGATTCCACTCAAAGACGTAAACACAGAATGCGGCCCCGACACATCAGTGAAATGTCAGCTTTATCACCTGACGACATGTACATGGACGCGTTAATGCTGAAAGCTGACAGCTTACTGATTCTGATGCGTCGGGTCCATGCTTTGTGTTTACGTCTTTTTTTGCGCTAGATTATGATGCTGCAGGTTTTGTCACTCTCCAACCAAAATTGACTGCAGCAGCAAAAGAAGATCAAAACTTGTCTTCACATTTGATAAACATCATCATGAATTCCCTCTTACTTTTGCTGTTTTGCTTCCGCCACAATAAAATCACACTTGCTGCACAGTGCTTTTTCTCTCTCAGTGTACTTCTAGAACAGTTTTCTTTCTCAAATCTCTGTTTTCTGCATTATTCATTCGATTATTAAGCACAAGTCATGTACAGTGCTGTCGGCTGCTGTTTTGTTTTTCTCCAAAAATGACCTCCAACAAGAAAGCCAAATTTCTGCTGTTTAATAGCGAAGAAATGTAAACTTTTTTAAAATGATGCCAAATTGCAAAACAAGTGTCCCCTCTCCCCACTCCCTTTCAGCGGCAGGCAGCAGCAAACAGATCATCAGAGGCCGAGATGATGATTAAGTTTAACATTGTCTACAATGTCTACTACTGCCAAAGACTGCCAAAGCACTTTAAGAACAAGGACTTTCAGTAACTTATCTTTCTTGTAGAATGGTGCTCCAAATAAAGAACTTTGTGTTGACAAGACTGTTAGTTAATAATTTAAACATCGATATTGCCTATATCGATATTGCCTGTATTATTTTTTTTTTTAAAGTGCACATGTAAAACTACAGTGTTAAGCGATGTTGTTGAAAAATTTGTGTGCACCTAAACTTTTGTGAAACCTTTGATTCAGAATATGAATGACTATCTGCATCTAACAAAAAAGTTAGGCGCACCAGTGTAACCATGGAAAAAGTTAGTCTAGAGCCCTGCAGCTCTATCTTTTGGTGCTCATAACTTTTATGCATTTTTAAATATTAAGCTTTTTAACTTTTCAACTCGTCATATCTTCTAAACCGGGGACTCCAGAGACATGAGCCTTGTGCCAATATCTTCAGACACTCCTGACGGTCACGGTAAAATAATTTTTTTTCATACCGTTTACCGTTTTCCCATGAATTACGTTTGTTTCAGGATAGGAAATCTGTCTTTGCCTCACTGAGATGAGCAGGTGCCCTGAGAGTGGGCAGCACAGGTTTGAATCCTACTTGTGGTTGTTGCTGCATTTCTTTCCCGCTCTCGCTCCTTCTGCTTTTTTTTTCTTTCTCGCTCCTCTTCAGTGTACCCTTTGAAATAAAGCAGATAGTTCCGCTTCTTCAGCTGTTTTTGGCACATGATTTCCACTACATGGCATTCACCCAGTATTTTTGCAGGAAATGCAACTTTTACTAGTTAACAAAGCAATTTGCAGTTCGGGAAAACGATAGATAAATGAATAAATAAACAATCAAGAAATCCTCCGATTTTCTTCGATGCCACCATCAGGTTAGCGTTTCCACTTTGCCATAAGTTTTTTGCTGCTTAGTGGCAGTTGGTTTGCACTGACTAAAGGCTCACCAAAGTAGTTCAGACTCTTGTCATCTGTCTTACAGTAGATTGCATTGCAACATAGTCACTGAAATATCTCTTCTTGACAGATATTTACCTGTTCAAATGTAAAAAGATACTCATTCATATTCTGAATCAAAGGTTTCAGATTCTGACACCTTTTGACAAGAAGAGCAGCTCTCTAGCACAGGGGTCCCCAATCCCAGTCCACGAGGGCCGGTGTCCCTGCAGGTTTTAGATGTGTGCTTGATCCATCACAGCTGATTTAAATGGCTAAATGACCTCCTCAACATGTCTTGAAGTTCTCCAGAGGCCTGGTAATGAACTAATCATGTGATTCAGATGTGTTGACCCAGGGTGAGATCTAAAACTTGTAGGGACAGCGGCCCTCATGGACTGGGATTGGGGACCCCTGCTCTAGCATCTTACCTGCTTCTTACATACTACTTCAAATATAACATGTACTGTCAGTTTAATATAGTTAAATACAAGGGGAAAACAATAAAACACATTATTGGAAAGAATATTAGGGACTTAACTTAAGTCACCTATAAAAACCTCTGATTTTAACGAAACATTTGACAAAAAATGCTTCTTGATTTTAATGTACAGTGGGGGGAAATAATTGCTAGCTCTCTGGCATGGAGGGGGACACACTGCTGAGGAGATCAGGAGGATTTTGATCTCAATAACCCCTCAATAAAAACCAACACACTATAAATAAAGCATAAAATCTAAACATATAAGTGTGAGGAGTTTCAAAAGAACAAGCACAGAAAATTAGTAAAGTCAAAAAAAAGGACAAAACAAGAGCAACATCCATCAAACGGTTAGTTACCACTTTGTCCGAGTTTTGTTGAAGTCCTGAATTCTGCGACTTTTCAGGAGCTCAGCTTCCCTTCTTTCCTAACCATGAGCCCTCCACTGAGCAGTAGTACTTCTCTGACTGTAGCAGATCACTCCTGTTATTGCTTCCAAGGTTGCTCTGTTAGAAGCTAAGGGTTAAAACAATTAAATTTGCACAATTAAATCCAGATACTTAGATTAAAGTGGATACTTATGTAAGTATCCACTTTTACTTGGTTGGCCAAGTAAATCATGTTAGCATCATAAAGCACTGTTTTAAACCATATTTATTTACAATTTGGAAAAAGAAATTTGGTGAATTAATTAGCAGTTATTCTGCTGTATTTGCTGTATAGCAGTAGAAATACTAAAAAAGGACACTGGAATCTTAAAGAACAGAAGAGTTCTAAAGCAACTTCTGAAACCTCTGTACTACTGTCCCATTAGTCCTGTTATATATTATCATATACCTTTTATCAATATTATCATATACCTTTTCTGAATAATTGAAAAAAACAAAAACAAAAAACGGTAGCCCCTTCTATTACTAGAACACGTTGCAAAGTTGCCTTCTGGTAGTTCAATCTCCTGACTACCTTCCCTCTCTTCGTTACCATCCGACTACACTTCTCTTCTATATATACTTCTACATGCACAGGAGTCTGATTATAATGCAGATATTGCACGTACAGTTAAGAAATGCACATTTCTGAGGTTGTGTTGTGGAAACATCCAGGTTTCAAGCTTCACTGTGATCCTCATGCACTCAAAGATCCTTTTTCCGGTGCACTTGGTACCCAATCTCGGGTGGGGGTGATGATACCTGTCGTCCTGCCTCCCCCTTGCTGTTGCAATCTCTAGCCATGAGAGTAGGTCCTTCTTCTGAATGTTGGAACACCAGTTGTTTCGCCGTCAATGCTGGATGCTGGATATCAAAGATTCCATAAGCCCCTCATCCTGTTCAAACTGCTGGGGTTACTTATGTAGTAGCATTGCAACAGCACCCTGTTTTGCCGCAGCAGTCAGTGGAAGAATCCACGAGTTTCTCTGTGAATTTTCCATTACGTCGTAGCGCACTCGGTGTTTGCTTGGAAGTTTAGGGGTTTTTTTCGCTCTAAAAAGAAGTTTTCTTCCCACGCACAGCGGACACTAATGTTTTTGTCACTTTTTATGGAATCAAACTCAAAATAAGGTCAGTACTTCCACGCTTTAAATGCTGCACGCTCATACTCTCTCCCGCACTCGATATATGATCCACTGTTGATCTGCACACAGCTGTTGTCACGAACGTCGCACTCGCTTACATCACTGTCATGAGACATTCTCGCAAAAAAAATCACAGTTTTAGTAACACAGCGTTCCTACGGGAAAGTAACGGTAATCTAATTACCGTTTTTGCAATAGTAATCCCTTACTTTACTCGTTACTTGAAAAAGTAATGGATTACAGTTACAAGTAACGCGTTACTACCCATCTCTGCCCACTTATGCCTCCTTGTTCCAGTAGCCCACTACGCTATCCAGCAACTATCTGCCTCTTGGTAGAATGGTGCAGAAATGGTTGTCCTTCTGGAAGACTGTTTTCACTCAACAGAGCAACTCTGGAGCTCTGTCAGAGTCATCTCTCTGATTAAGGCCTTTCCATTCCAAACTAATTCTAACCTATTAAATGCTTAATCGTTAATTAGATTAGAAATGACCTATGCTGTTTCTGTCATGACTGTTAGAATCTTTACCCCTACTGAAACACTGTATTAAACACTGGGGAGTAAGAAAATCTTAGGACTTGTCAGAAACACCCAGCAATATTTTCTTCCTTCACAGCTGCAGTGGGTGAGCCAGCATCGGAAACAACAGCCTCCAGAGAGCGAGCCCACGACCGTGGACGCTCCCATGAAAGGAAACACCATCATTCCTCTGCAGACAAACAGCGCTACTACTCCTGTGACCGCTATTGCAGCCGGGGACAGTGCCACTCGAAATCTTCCACCGCCAGCTGTGCTGGCTCTCCAAGTGAAGGGCTGGAAACCAGCAACAAGCAGGTGGGCAAGCATGTTCTTTTTGACTAAGGTCATCTTTGAGCTTTCATTTTTTAATGTCATTCTTGTTAGTTTAGCTTAAGGCGTCTTCTTTTTTTGCAAATCCCCCCATTTTCCACCATTTCTCCTCCTACTCATCATTCAAATAGACTTGGGCTTTCCATAATGACGATTCAGGTATTTGTTGCTTTAGGGGGGCCAACACGTAGGATAATATATTTTTCTATTTTTATTCAAATCAGGCTCTTTTATCCCCATTTTTACTTTCTTTTGAAAGAATTTATAAATGCAACTATACGGTTTGGATTGTTTTATACCTATGATTTGGCCCCTGTCTTCAATGATAAGTATGGCTTGGGCAACTCACTTCTTTTAGCCATGGACATATGTCACACTCTAGAGTATTACACAGTCCAGCTTCTCGTAACATATACTCACAAGTACAGTCAATGTTACCACAGGAATATTTGACTGTAGGATCAACTTTCAGAAGACAGCCATACAGCATTTATACAACATGCCTTATCCAGCTTGGTGTTAATGTTAAATAATCTAATTTGATAACTCAGGAGGAAAAGTGTGCTATCATCCTGGGTCCATCTGCCTGTCTGTCCATCCATCTATTTTCTTCCACTTATCCGGGACTGGGTTGTGGGGACAGGAGTCTAAGCACAGATGCCCAGGTATTCCTCTCCCCAGGCACCTTCTCCAGCTTATTCTGGGGAACACCAAGATGTTTTTAGGCCAGCTAAGAGATGGAATCTCTCAAGCATATCCTGGTTCTGCCTCCAGTGGAACATGCCCGAAGAAACTCACAGAGAAGGTGCCCAGGAGGCATTCTTGACAGATGCCCAAACCACCTCAACTGGGTCATTTTGATGTGGAAGAGTAGCAGCTCTAGTCTGGGCCTCTCTCAGATGGCTGAACTCCTCACTCTATTTCTAAGGGAGAGGCCAGCTACCTTTCAGAGAAAGCTGTTTGTACCCGTGATCTCATTCTTTCGATCATAGTGCCATTCCTGGTCTTGTTGTCATTTGCCACATGAGTGTTGCAGTCTCCCAGTAGGATGACATTCACCAGATAGAGCACCATTGAGCACCCCACCTAGTGAATCCAAGAAGTCTGGATACTCTGAACAGTTGCATAAGTGCAAACGACAGTCTAGACCTGTTCCTGAGTCAATGGCACAAGGAAACAGCTCTGTAATCCACCGTTAAAACCCTATGTACCAGTAGCTAGCCAAGTGGAAATGATAATACCCACCTCAGCCTGCTGTCACTCATCAAGGGAAACTTCAGACTGGAATCGAGCCTAGTCCCTCTCCAGGAGACTGGTTCCAGAACCTGAGCAGTGCGTTGAGGTGACCCCAAATATATTTAAGTATCTCTCAACCTCTAGCACTAGTTCAGGCTCCTTCCCCACCAGAAAGGTGACATTTTGTGTTCCAATATCCAGCCTTGATAGCCAGGGATTGGACAAGCAGGGCCCCCAACCTTGACTGCTGTGTGACAGACATTGAACCCAACCCCTAGTGCGCCTCATGCAGGTAATGGACTTACAGGAAGAAACTAAAATAAGTAAACTGCAGAGTTTTTTTTTAGCTAAAATATGTGAAGGTACATTTATAGATTGTTTGAAGTGAAGTAAAAATGTGATTAAAAGAGCCTGATATGAAAGACGTGCTGTCTAGTACGTCTGTATTGCTCCCTTAAAAGCAAGAGAGGCACAAGCTGATCTGATTGAGTAGGACATGAAATGGTGGAATTTAGAGCAATTTGAAAATAAATTAGTTGACTTAATCTGAAAAATAAAGGTTTACATTGAAAAAGTCTCTTACCACAACTTCCACTGGTAAGAAGGATGAATGAAAGAGTGCAGAACACAGTGAGAATCAATGAGGTAACAGATAAGTGAGATTAAGAAAAGCGAGAAAAAAAAACCAATGCAAACTGGAAACTTTAAAGAATAGCAAAGCATAACACTATTTATCCACATAGTGTTATCTGACAGTTTTTACATCATATACACTTAACCTGTGCATGTATTTTAGATAACTGGGAACCTTTTCCATTTCAGCTGGGTGTTACAAGTCAATTAGTGCCGGTGAAAAATATTAACTTATCAATATCAGCATTTAATATAAATACAATATATAGTAAAAGTCTTGAGCCACCCTTCATTTCTTTATATTTTGCAAGAAAATTTTAAATAAGAGTAGTAATTTATTGAAACATACAAAGATGGAAATACAGTATATATGGCAAAATAGTGTTTGTACAGTTAAAACAAGCTTAGAACTCAGTATTTTGTACTAATGTCTAAATGTTCCCTACAAAACTTGATTCTTTTCATTTCTTAAGTATTCTTCAGGAATAGTTCTCCAGCTTTCTTGACCTGTTTTTTTTTTTCAGTTATTTCCAAGATGATCAAACTTCACTTCAGTATTGTTGAAGTCCAGGCTCTGTGGAGGCATGGAGTCCTGCTTTGCTTTTACTGCATTGGCAGTATATCTGGGACCATTTTCATGCTAAAAGATGACGCTCTTGCCATTCAGAAGATTTTAAGATTTTGTTGCAAATTGCATCAAAATCTGGCTCTGCTTTTCTGCTCTCATAATTCCATCAGTTTTAACAAGATCTCCAACACCATTAGCTAAAATGCAACCCCAAACCATGACCATACTTTACAGATGCCTGTAGACACTTACTCTTGCAGTGAATATGTGTTCCACTGTAAACTTTGCATTACTTAAGTCAAGTTGAATTGACTCGATATATTTGAATAAAAGCAGAATAAAAGACTGCTTTTTGTCACATTACCATATATATTACAGAGCATCAGCAAATGTGTGATATAGACAAGCAGAAATTAAATGCAGACTGTTGTGATTGCTCTGCATGTTTTTAGTGCTTTCTTCTCTGTCTGCTTTCAGTATAGCCTCTCATGACCTTTCGCTTTTCTTCCCACTTTGTCTTTTTCATCATGTCCCTCTGTGATTATCTATCCATTTGTGCGTCTTTATTTTTGTCTTCTCTGTCCCTCTTATGTTTGCTGTTATCTTACCATGTACATGTATTTTGGTGTCTTTCTTTTCTTTTCTTCCCTTGGGTGGCTCTGTACTTATACATATTCTTCCCATTTTCCTTTCTTCTCTGGCATATTTTCTTTTTCCTCATCATTTCAAATTGCTTGTCCAATTTTCATCTAGGGCAGTGGTTGGGTTAAAGGCAGCCCAGTGGCACTGAGCTCCAATACTAGCACGTCAAGCCGTGGACGTCGGCAGCTCCCCAAGATCCCCCACACCCCGCGACCCGGGGTGGCTTACAAGACTGCCAATTCCTCTCCTGTGCATTTTGTGTCCAGCCAGACCTCTCTGAGTCCCAGCCGGCTAAGCCGTGGCCTCTCAGAGCACAATGGCCTCCGTTACAGCGGCTCTCACCACTTCCCCTGCCCCGTCACTCGTATCAGCTCAGAGCCCTTCCTGGGCCAGGGCAAGGCTCTGGGTAGCCTCTATGGCAGCCTCCGGGACCAGCTGCAAGTCTTCCAGGATATGGCGGCGCTGTCTCCCAGCCCCTGTGCTGGACACTCCTCTTGGAACGCACTGCCTCACATGATGGGAGCCTTGTCTCCTGCTCAACAACAGAACATTGGTATGCCCAATGGGTACCACATCAGCTTTGGGGGTAGCACCAGCCCAGGCTCTGGCATCAGGCCACCCAGGTGTTACCAGGAGGCAGTAAAGGATGAATGGTGCTAGCATGGCTTTAAACAAACCTTTTTAATGCATTTTTGAGGAATTGTGATGAGTTTTATCATCTTCTTTGAAGGCTTTAGTTTACAGCATCACTGTATGTGTTTTAATGCTTTATTGTAATCCTAACTTGGAGATCTTAAGTTATGGAGAACATCTGAGGAGAATGCTTTAAGGGGGTAATATTTGAATGTGAATAGAAAAGTATCCTCTTTATCAAAGCGCTTGTAGCAGAAAGGCAGACTTTTTGTCAATATCAAATGTCTTACAGTGTCTGTTTTTGATTTGCTACTGACACCACCATACTGATCCTGAAGCAACTTTCCATACAATATATATATATTATATGGAAAGTATATATATATATATTAGGGGTGCAACGATACACAAAATTCACGGTTCGGTTCGATACTTTGGTGTCACGGTTCGATATTTTTTCGATACAAAAAAAAATGTTCATGCCTTTTTAATTTGTCATTTATTAAAATTATAAATATATATTTTAACACAAAAGTACAGTTTTTAAATTTAACCCTAACCCTTGTGCGTGTTGTTTTTTAGCTCGTCATATTGCAGCCACAGAAATTCTTTTGTCCATGAAACCATAAAGCTGCACTTTCTTTTTGCCTTATAGTCTGATTTGTCATAACTTCTCCGTTTTGTGGTAAGCTTTTCTTTGGCTGTCACTTCTTCACCCTGACCTGTCTTATTTGGCTCAGCAGAACTAAAATATATATCTGTCTGTGAAGGTTCTTAATCATCCAGGTCATCGTAGTGAAATATATATCCTGCCGCACTCACATAAGCTCAGCGATTCTCTGCGCGATCAACCTCTCACATGTTTAAGCTGCGGGAGATTTCACTTGTCATGTTTGCATAGTAAGCTAACAATTAATAAGACGATGTCAGAGGAATTGGTGCACAAATTATCATCACTCACAGATCAGTGCTGTCGCTCTCTATACACAGTTCGCGCGATTGCAAAGTGAAAGCAAAAAAACAAGCGCAAATTCAAACACGATTTCAATATGTCACATATTGACAGTGGCTCACCCAATGACATAATTACCCAGCTACATTTCTGAAAGAATGCAAAAGCATTGACATATATTTTTCCTTCCTACAATAGCCCGACAGGCAGGGGAGAGATAGCCCCGGGACGTCGGGCTAGCGATATTGCGAGCCCTGTATCTGATTGAGGAATCACTCATCTTTGGAAAAGAGAGTTTATTACAGAGAAATGTCTCTTTCCAAAATAAAAGCTATACTATCCGCTTCTTCTGGGCTATATTCTCAGCAGCATATTAAACATCTCCTTATGGAGATAAGGAGAATCCTGTGCTAACAGCTGTCTAAATGACTCGGCTAAAGTTTGTAGCATGCATGCTTGTTGTTTTTGTCTTTGCACTAGGATGATGTCGGTGTAAATGTGCAGTCATATTCGTTGTGTTCCCACTAGTGCTTTCAGGTTAATCTCGTTGAAATAACCTTAACGCCACAACACGGCAAATCTCCGTTAACGAGCTACCCTATACAGAGGGGCTAGACGGCCAACACGTTAACGAGCTAACTGCGCTAACACACTAGCTCCCACCCATGTAATTGAGCATTGCATGGCACATCCCAACATACTGTTTTACTTTAGTCCATGACTCGCTTACCTTCAGGGTCATACGTCACATGAAAACCAAAATAATTCCAAACGCCAGATCTGAATGAGGGTGGGGAGGTCCACTTCTGTCTCGCTAGCTTGCCCTGCGCTCTTCCTTCTGACCATCCTGTCTGTGTTGAGTGCTCAGTGAATCTGCGTTCGACTACTCCGCCTAGGCTCGAGAGTGCAGCCTAGGCGGAGTAGTCGAACGCAGATTCACTGAGCGCTCAACACAGACAGCATCGTCAGAAGGAAAGTTGATAAAATAAATTACAAATTTTGTATTGTTCTTTTTTTTTCTCCCCTTTGGTTTTCTTTCTTTCTCTCCCCCTCTTTCTTTCATTCTTTCCCCCTGTCCTATCCCACAGTCATGTCTGTCCCGTTTGCAACTAAAAATAAAATAAATTCATAATTATAATAAAGGTCAATCAAATGGACCAATATGATGATCCACTTAAAATAAATCCTCTTGGCATCTTTCTTGGCCTCAAGACAACAATTCTGATGGCTATAGATCCAAACGGGACACAAAAAAAAAAAGTTCTCAAGAGAGGACATCCTGGCCACTCCAATTTAGCTCCAAAGAGGCAGGGAATCACACAAAAATAAGTTAAACTGAAAGAGGTTCTCAGGAGGCTATGACCATTACTTGCTGTCAGTTGTTGCATTTCAGAGTCAGATGGTGGTGTCAACACTGTAAGTCACAGGATCAGGACAAAAATCAAGTCAGTAGTTTAATGAAATGGTATTTGAAAACCTCAGACATGACACTGTACAGATAGCTGTGCTGCCTTTAGCTTTGGACTTTACCATTCCATGATGATGCCTAATCCTTTTCAACATTCCCTCAGTGGAAAAGATGGAATTCATACCGCTGCAGAATTTAGGAATGAGATAGCGCGTGGTAGTGGAAATAGTTTTGTTTGTTTGTTTGATTGTTGTTGGGATTTTTTTTACCTCAAATTTTCCTTTCCTTTCCTTGATGTTCTTTCTCCATTGTGCACATTTTATACAATATGAGGAAAAACAAAGGAGTGTTTTATGTGAACTGCTTACAGTTTGCCATTGTTTCAGGTCTAATGTTTCTTACAGACTTCTTTGCGATGTTTTAAGACTAAGTGCCTCTCCTTTTAGATAGAAAAAGATGCAATGTCACTGTTTTCTGATGCAGCCACATGAAAATAGATGTTGGATTCATTATATATATCTAGCTCTGCAGGAAAATGTGTTGTATAGAAAGCCTTATCTGCAAGCAGAGTCAATATCTACACTTAAAAGACAGGAGCGAAAAATTAAGTTCTGTTTTTTTTTCTATGTGGTTGTTTTTGATACCATGTAGTCATGTGGGTGGGAACTTAAGGATCAGCATTGTGGAAACGCTATGCTGGGATTTAATTATGAAAACGATAAATATATCATTCAATTTAAATTAAAGTCAGAAACTTAATTTGCATGCTAAAATGTTAGAACTGGTTAACTACCTGATATAACCTCTTTGTATATTTTTGGTAACGATGTCACAGTGAGAGTCACAGTGCAAGTATCTTATTCAGGTGGTAGAGTGTGAGTTGGGTCAGCTGCAGTGGATGGGTGTAGTTGGTTGTGGCTGTTTACTACCCAAAGTAGCAAGGATTGCTACTTTTTTTTTTTTAATCCATTTTTTGTCCATTTAAATGGACACAAGCTATGTCTGTGACTGTATGTCTGTGTGTGTCTGAGTGTGCGCGTATCAGTTGTTGTTGAGATACTTGACATTTCTGGGTCATTTTTTTCACCTTTTCACATGTATCAAAAAAATTATATTGTAACATCATGCCCAGTAACTACTGTATAATGCAGTTTTACAGCAGTGATCCAATTTCTTTAGAATAATCATTAGAAAAAAGGGCAGTACGGTGGCATGGTGGTTAGCACTGTTGCCGCACAGCAAGAAGGTCCTGAGTTCAATTCCACCATCATGAATGAATGTGAGTGCGAATGGTTGTCTGTCCCTGTGTGTTGGCCCTGCGACAGACTGGCGACCTGTCCAGGGTGTACCCCGCCTCTCGCCCTATGACAGCTGGGATAGGCTCCAGCGCCCCCCGCGACCCTGAAAAGGATAAGCGAAAGTGAATGGATGGATGGATGGATTAGAAAAAAGGTCTTATACCAGCCCCTATCTTCACAGAGTAAAGAAAATAAAAGAGGCAGAGTGAATTACTTTTTCTTTGTTTCTTTTCACCGAATTTCATGTCTGTGCCTTGAGCACTTGAGCATCAACTGTTGGATTGAATATGGAGAAAGATATCAGTATATATCTTTTCTGGTCAGAAGGATAAACACCACTTTTAACCCTTAATAATGTATCCAATGTTTTTCATACTAAGCCCCACAAATGCTATATGGACATTGTGGTGAGTCAGAATTAACACTGGCTGGTAAACAGTGTGACTTTTCATATGATCACCAAAACAATTTAATTAATAATTAATTGTGAATAATTCTGACCCCACACAGTGTTCTGACAGTTGTTTATAATTTTTATTTATGCTACACACAGAAGCACTCAGCTTTGGCACCAGCGTCCCAGCTTTTCACCTGACCTCACACACACCTCTCTCCTTCTGGTGTCTGACATCACTATAAAGAAGGAAAGACCTCATTAGATGAATAACCTTCACCTGTGCCTCCAACCTCCCTGGTTGAGCTCACTGCACCACACCTTCCCTGCAGCCTCCGCCACAGCCTATTAATGTGGCGGAGGATCAGACCTCCGCCACATTAATACTCAACAGTGTATGATTACAGTGTATACCATTTTGGCCTGACAAACATTCTGCACGAGCTTGTTTGCTTTCTAGTTAAGTGCAAAAGTTGCACTAAAATGATCAGCATTTCCACAGTCAAACAATTAAATTGTTTGCTTTTCAAGGCAAATTACCTTTAGGTAATTTATAGGAAAAATCTAATTTTCAAAAGAAAATCCCACATGGATGGTTTAAGGAAACATTATATCAAGGATATAGTGTCATTTGTAAAAGGGCATTGATGTTTGGAGCTCTGAAGTAAGTGTGTGTGTTTTGTTTTTGCCTTTGCTTTTTGTTTTTTAGGGGGGTGGTTGTCTACATTGTTAGATATAAAATGTATATATATTTGTCTTGTCACATTTCAACTTCACAAAGTATTTAAATTTTGCAAATACCCCTTTCTTCTGCATACAACAGACAAGGATAAACAATAAAACTTAGCTGACCTGCTCTGCATAGCCAAGAAAAATATACTGGCTTTCACTCAATATTTTAACATAGATGCAACAATAATTAAACCTCTTAAACTGCAAATATCAGGCAGTTTAACTTTTCATTTTTTCATTTTTCACGTTTCATTTTGAAACCATTAAAACATATGCCATTTTTGCAACTATGACTCCTCCTAAGACATCACTTAAGACCAGAGTTGGGCGCGTTACTGTAATCTGATTACTTTTTTCAAGTAACGAGTAAAGTAAGGGATTACTATTGCAAAAACGGTGATTAGATTACCGTTACTTTCCCGTAGTAATGCTGCGTTACTAAAACCGTGATTTTTTGCGAGAATGTCTCATGACAGTGACGTAAGCAAGTGCGCCGTTAGTGACAACAGCTGTGTGCAGATCAACAATGGATCACATATCGATTGTGGGAGAGAGTATGAGCGTGCAGCGTTTAAAGCGT